AATTTACAGTTTACAAAGTGGCATAAGATCATTGATGATTCGTACTTTAAACTATTAACCATAAATATAATAAGAGAGAGAAATAACTCTCTAATAAATATGTTTACAGGAAACAATCATAATTACCGAAAGAATGAAAAATGCTTCGTTTGTACAGTTGGAGTTCATTGGTTAGATTTTACTACGCATGTCCCGCCAATACGCGTGTTCCTCTTCCAATACTGCCATTCTTTTTTCATGTTCCTCTTTGAGGTATTTCATTTTCATCAGATAAAATTCTTCCGCGTTTATTGTAACTCGTTCAGTACAATTATGCACTTCATGTTTTTGTTCTGTAAGGGAATCTTGAAGTAGGTAATTTGATGGAGAAAAGTATTCTTTCTCTCCTGAATCATCTGGAAATGAAAGGAGGCAATAGAGAAGAATGATTTACATTTTTAAGTAATTGAATTGAATGGGTAAATTATATTAAAGTGCTAATTATGTAGTTTAATTTATAATTAATTAGATATTTTTGTAATATAGGTACATTGATTTTTGTTATAATCTAATATAACTCCTATGACGTAATTCAATAACGATGTATTTAATTTTTTATACAATATGTCATAAATGTGCTTACTTACCCGGCACTTCGTTATCGGAAATAACTTCGATAGGGATCTCATCCGGAATCACTTTGACAACCAAATTCTCCGAAATTTCACTTTCATCTTCTTTAATCATCGGCCATTTGCTGGTTTCGGAATTTGGTTGACGCTCTTTCAACTTACTATGCTTTCTTCCTTTTTTAATCCGTTTCCAGGCATTTTTGAGTTGTTCCGATGTCCTTTTGCAACGGTTTGTGTTACAATTAAATTCTCTGACGATCTTGTTCCACACATCTTTTTTTATTGTTTCAGTTCTCTTGTCGTGTTGTTTCCACTCGACCTGGGGGTTTGCTGCTACGAGCCTAGTTAATTCTTCTAATTCATTGGCATTGAAGTTCGAACTACGATTGCGTTTAAAAAATGACATTCTCTAATTAACATCTCTCACTAATGACATTCTTGTGTTACGTAACTACACATATACACTAAACACAAAAACATAGTTTGACCAGGAGGTTGTCGTTGAGAAGGCTATGATTGAGTAAACAGGTGTTTGTGGAGTCAAGACTGCCACTACACTGGAGGGTTTCCCACTTTCCCTCCGCTAGTCTCGTTCTAAACCGGTCCCGTTTTAAAATTAGCTTCGAGCTAAAATTAACTTGGAACTAGTTAGTCTAAGGCTTAACAGGGCCTGGTCATCCTTTTATCGTTACAGATTAGCTGTGACCTGGATTAAGGAAATCTAAACTTAATTAACACCGCTCTTCTCTCCCGATCCCTTCCAACTTTGTGTGGTTAGAAATTTTTTTTTTATCTATCTGTTTATTGAGTAATAATTCATTTTGCCACACTTAAGGGCACTGAGTATTAAGGCTGAGAGAGGCACATTCATACCATATATACAATACATAAAAAAAAAAAAAAATAAGTAAATAAATAAAAAATAAATAAATAAAAATATAAAAATTTATATAACAAAGGCAAAAACTATAATAAACTAGGAAATGTAACTAAGAGCTAAAATTAAATGAAATACAGAAATTCGTAGCAAAATTAAATAAATTATAAGTAATAGAAATAAATAGAAAAACATTCATACTTAAATACAATATTTACAATTAGGTAAGAGATCTCCGAGTCCAGCCCTTTCCCCCACGTGCGAAGGACAAAGCGAGACTCTAAGAGATCCCAGCGCTTCTCTCTCAACCGCATCGCCGGCATTACCAGTCCGGTGGAGAGTGAGAGAGGGCACTAAAACCACAAACACTCATGACTTGAGTGGAGAAGCTGGCCATTGCCAGAACTCCAGTGACGTCTTTACAAGAGATCTCGAGGCCACTGCCGTTTCAACCTTCGAGGAGGGTTGTAGGGATGACTGGAGCTAGATAAGGATTGTGCTAAAGGGTTAGGTTCATGTGAAAATTTGAGAATCGGGATGGAATAACGTCAAGGATATAAGGGATGTAAAGGTCATGATGTAGGGTTTTGTTTGTAACGTAATAAGGAGCATTGACTATCATACGGAGGACTTTAGACTGAAAGGATTGGATGCGTTTGATGTTTGAAAATTTAGTTGTCCCCCACAGTTCAAGTCCGTAGGTCCAGATGGGTTTGAGTATGGTCTTGTATATTAATAGTTTGTTTTCTATTGATAGATTGGATTTTCTGTTAAGTAGTCTGTATAGCTGGCCAAATCGTCGGTTAAGTTCTTGTCTTTTAAGTCTAGTATGTGGGTTCCAAGTTAGGGTTACAAAATTAATAACACTAAAAGTTACTTCAATGTTATATATACAAGTTATTTGAACGGAATCAACTGTTGATCGGAGTGTCGATATCAACAGCAGTCCAACTGTTGTGGAATCGGTTTTTGGTAAATAAATACGGATCTTTGAAATGCTATTCGACGTATTCGAGAAAGTCAAATAACTATAGGTAATCTTTTTAATCACCAAAAATTATTGATATCCATTTATATTTTTGGCTTAAGATGAAATTAATTTTAATAATATAAAGTAAGACAGATTGTAATATTTATCAATAAAAAAAAAAAAAAAAAAAAAAAAAAAAAAAAAAAAAAGAGAAATGTGTTATATCACCATATTTTCTTTTCTTTTTTACAGTGGCTACGATGCCATTTTCACTCACATAGTGACTATAATCCAATTATAGTAGGGGGTTCCATGAACCGCTTTTATTTCTACTTCTATTTCTATCGGTTCTAGAAGGGAACCAATATACTGAAAAATATATGAATAGTGTATTTAAAGGTTAGATGCCATAGACTCCCTACTGTAGTATCCTAGAATGAATAATATAATTTTTATTGTATTTTTTTTTAGGTATTATGTTTAAAAATTTACTACTTGTATTTATGTCTAAATGGTGACATGCAAGGAAAATTGTTAAATTATCAAGATGCTATAATAATTAATCTATTTATAAACTTAAACAAAACGAAAACATATAAGTATTAGAGAATCCACGCTGGCTGGGCTCCTTAGGTTCTTCCAAGCTGACTCCTTCAACTCTCTATCCTTCTCTCAGACTGCCTGTCTCCTCGACCCCAATCTCTAACCCTCTTTGTCCCCAACTATCGCCATCCATCTTCCTTTTTTTAGTTTTCTCTCATTGGCTGAATTTTCGTAGCAGAGGAAATGGCCACGCCTTCAGGCCGTAGGGCTGTTCCATCTTTCTCTAAAGTGCTTTGTTTTCATTCTTTGTTAGGGAAGCTTTTTGATTTTAACTAAACATCCCTTATGTTCTTGCCTATTTAGGTGTTTTTCCGGCGTCTGTCCTAGGTGTTTTATTGCCCCTGACTAAGGGCTGCACCCCCTTGGATGTCGCTAAGGTCTAAGATTTGTTCCCAATTATTATAATCTTTTCTATTTATTTATATGAAGTAATTAAATATATTTTATGTGTGGTATTTACAATACATATCAATAAGGAACATTAATAAATTAAATGGCTTGAAAATTACATCTTAACCGAAACGTAGCCGGTTTAAAAAAAGTAAAGAAAATATGGTAAATAAGACAGCGCAACTTTATATTATTAATATGTATAATCTTTTGTTGCCTTTATCATCTCAAATGTTTAAAAATTCGTTTCGAAGTATTCAGGCCAACTTTTTTATTTGTTTTTGTTGTATTTTTTAACCCCTAACAATTTCTGGCATATGGAAGATGGTGGAAGGAGTTGTTCTTGAATCAATATCAACTCTTCTAACCAGAGTGGAAGGTCAAAATTCATTTCGAGGGTCGACGTCAAAATAAATTTCAAACCGCCCGGGCCGGATTCGAACCTGTGTCGTGAACTCCTGTGACTTGAGAAATCTAATTGGACAACCATATCATACCCATTCGTTGTCGCTTCGCCATATCTATCTATAGTCCCAAAATTGGTTTGAATATCTCTTGGATCTGTTCCTTCAAATTTTCTTTTACTGTTCTATATATTTCTCAAAAAATGAAAAAAAAATGGAAATTAGCATTTTCTGAACACCTCAGAAATCAAGGTTTTTGCTGCTCACAGCTTCAGACCACTGTGCGTCGCTAACGTTTTCCAACAAAGAATGTGGGAACGTAGCTTCCGCCCATTGGCTAATATTTTCTGTCTGAAATGATTTGGACACTCAAGTATATCATCAAGAGTTGAGTGGGGGGATGTTAGGTCGATAGGGTCTACGGGCAGAAAGGACTAGTTCTGTCGGTGCATTCCTCCGATGAAGTCCTCATGAGTCGTTCTTCTTTATCGCATCTGTCTACGAACATCGTAAAATGAATAAATTATATTCAAGGTATTATAGATTTATTTTATCGTATGTATTGTAATGTTTTAAATGACATATGCGTTTAGATCATGTGTTTTTTCATGTATTTTATACTTTATTTATACATTGTTTTAAAAAATATATCAAACTCGCTTCAGTATTGGATGATGATAATAGTTGACTATTGCTGTATGTGAGAAATAGAGGCTTTCAATATCTTTTGTTGTTTTTGTTTTTTTATAAAAAGATCAAAGTCTATTCCTATACGTTTTTCTGTTGTAGGCAATTCACTTATATTTCTATCAGATAATATCTACTGTAGGAGCTTAGGGAAAAGGAAGTTTACAACGATTCGATGAGAACATAAATAATTTGAGAAAAGAGATAATTACATCTTTCTATAAAACTTCTATCTATAAGCCCAACGAGGAGACGATCTTGAACACTACGATGTACAAAACCGTTCTACCTAAAGTCCAGGTACTAGATCACTTTTAGGATTTATATTTCCTAGCCTTTTTTAGAATTATGTTACTCGTATTTAGTATGGACAGTTTTGCGAATTAAATTTTAGGCTTAATTAACGACCATATGTAGCAAAAAAAAAAAGGCAGTTTACGACCCAAAACTATACAGATGTTTGAAATAATTCTATCGTAGATAATACTGTAGTATCAGCCTGATTGGTATGTGATTTTCACGCAATATTTAATTTCACTTTGAATTCTCAGAAGTTTCTCTAGAAGCAGTCCGATCCTACAATGAAAACCCATAATAATATCGAAGAATGGTTCACCTCACGTATGAAGACGCATGTAATTATCTGTAAATTTGAGGATAGTTCGAATTTTAACTTGATCATATTATTGTCCTTGTTATATGTAGACTTACTTTCTGCTATTATCGAAATTTTAATTTTTCTTAGAAATTTCTTCTATAGAAATTATCAACTCAGTTCTTTATACTCCAGGATCCGACTCAACGTTATCTATTTAATCAAGTTGGCTGCTAAGTGTCTCACCGATGAACGCATCCTGAGGAGAACAAAATGGGGCTGTTGGAAAAAAAAGTAACATCGTAGAAAAAAATAAAGTAACAAATTTGTTTCATAACAATTCAAAAAGAAACCAGTTACGAAACAAAGATTAACTCTTCTACTCTTAAATTAATCTTTTAAACAGTCGTCGTATTTTAAAATAATGTTGCAGCGTTCATGCTAACTCCCTTTGTCTCATTTGGTTTCATAATAACCTGCGAATCAGCTTTTGATTAAAAAAAATCGCAAATTTTCTTCCAAATATCACGTAACTTTTTTTAAAGACACTTTTGATCTGTTCAATCATGTTTTTGTATTTATTTAAATAAGCCAATGTACGACATTAATAGTAAGGGAAGTATGATCGATATATACGTCTTTACTAAAAAACTGTTTTCTTGGAGAAAAGGATAGCTTCAATCGTATTCAAATTGCTTACTTTTTCAAAGGGGATACATTTATTTTCGCTTGCTGATATAAAAAGAAGTTTTAGTATATATCTAGATTCAATTTCAGCATAAGTCAGTATCAATATATTGGGTTGGCAAATGTATAAATATAAAAACTCAATATATTATAGACATTCAATTTATTTTTATCTACAATATATTAACCATTATTTAATAAGATTTTTTCCCCATCTTTCCACTAACTGCACAATACCATGTTCATAGAATATCTGGAGTTTATTGTTACGAAAACTGATCCAAGTGGTTTTTGATATCCTCTTCCTTTTGGAATCTCTTTCCATTCATGAAGTTCTGCAGAAACCGGAATAAGCGGTAGTCACTTGGAGCTAGGTCTGGTGAATGGGTAGGATGAGGCCTTGCGTTGTCTTGTTGGAACACAACAGATACCCCTCCGATTTGCCAATTCTGGGAGTTTATTATTAATTGATTGATCCAATTTTGTTAATTTTGAGCGTTATAGAGCTGAATCAATTGTTTGTCCTGATGGTAATAGCTCATAGAAAATAACATCCTTGAAATCGCACTATATGGAAAGCATTATCTTCTTCGGATGCAATCATTTTCATTTTCTGTTATCTACCTTTTAAAAAAATGGGTAGCTTTGTTGCCGTTTCCGTCGTGAATCACAAACAGAAATGCATTTTGCCAAGTTGACTTCGGTTAGAAAATGAAGGACCCAAACATTAAGCCTAGAGACATAGCCGAGCTTGTGCAAATGGTTTCCTACGCTTGTGTGCGACACATTTGAGGATACAGCAATCTCTCGCACTTATTCTGTGGGATTTTGATCAACGATGGCCTTAACATTGCTCTTTTAAATTTCATGTGGGCGTCCAGGCCGTTGAGCATCATTGATGTCAAAATTTCCTGAATGAAATGAGGCAAACCAATTTTGCCGTGTGCGTTCGGTTAATGCATGATCCTCATAAATACTACAAATTTTTCTGCAGCACCTTCTTTAAAATAATACAACAAAATATGTCGATAATGAATGATATTTTCTTCCATATCCACAGTGCAATAGCAAACACAAAACTAAGCTAGTTTCAACAATGGTTAAAATACTAAAAACAGGATAAATAATCCTCCTTTGGGATTAATTCTTCAGATAAGAAGTGTATCATAGTGTCATAAAAATAAACAGAAAAACCGAAAGGCCTTACTTGCCAACCCAATATTATTTAAGATATTTGTGGAAGTCCTGAGTTTAATTTTAAATAAATTAACCACTATGAAGAATTGACTACGAGAAATCCATCGAACTAAGCGAATTTCATCTACAGCTGTCTATGAAGGCGGAATTCGAAAGATTTTTCAGTTTATGTATCTGAGGTCAAATATTAATGCTTGTAATGACATTTTGGTGGAGAACAGCCAACAGGTGTTATTTTGGAATTCGGCAATTTGGAAATAGTTCTACAGAAACAAGATTGTAAACGTTGCTCATCAGACCTTTGTTTACTTTTGCGTCCGAAAAATGATCTTTCTTAATGTCAGATAAAAGGAATATCTTCTTATTAGAGAGAAAAGTTCTCGGAGAAGGCGAACAAACAAGGAAGTTTATGTTTTGCATGAGCCTTATGTTGAGGAACTTGTGTAGGTCAGCAGCCATCAATAGTTGGGAAAGCTATGTAGACAGGTTAAGGCCTTAAAAGACCACAGTAAAAAAAATTCTTGATATATGACCAGTAAGATATCCGGCGACCGAGGGGTCGCCCAAAGCATCGATAAGTGTGGAAGATGATGGGGGAGGTTCAAGTAATCTTCCTAGCTTTCGGAATCAGAGGACAAATAAACTTCACCGATTTAACAAGCGGAAGCTGCTTTATATTTCCATATTTTATAGTGTGAAATATTTTATTTTTATTATATAGACAATGTGGTATGTTTAATAGTAATAGAATGATGCAAAAAAACAAGGACCTGTGACCAGAAAATATAATTTTGATTATGACCACGGTCACATCCGGCTCGGATCCATTATTTAACGACGAGATGCATTGATTCACCAGAATTCTTTTCATCCTTCGAATGGAGAGACTGGAAAGCATATTTATATTTTGTCTGAAGATATTGCGTTTTCTATATCTCAACAATTACAACAACATTCTTAATTACAACGATATACCTACAATTAATAACAATAAATACCTACATTTCGTTCAGCTTTTTTGAAGTGGTTTCCCGAACCTTAAGAGATTGTGAACGTATATGATAATCACATCAGGTTCTTCCTTTTCGATTATTCAAGTAGCGTTACCCTTTTTTTTTTTAACTATGTTTTTACTGCAATATAACCTTCATTGTTTTTTTACTTTCACTTACCTGTACATGAAATATATAGTAAGAGACAGTATTGCGATCACGAAAATTTTCGAATCTGAGTTTTCAGCTTATACATGTTTTGAGGTCTCGTGAGTCCAAATAACCAAGTCCCGCAAAATGGTCTATGTATGTGTATGAATGTGACACTATCTCTATCTCAAAAACAAAAAGACTTACGAAAGTGAAATTTTATATTTAAGGTTTGTATATACCTGAGATGTTACAGCAACTTTTTCGTCAAAATCGGATAACCGGAAGTGGCACTTCATATAATCGGTGAAACACATTTTTGCTATTTTCTCAAAAACTACTTCAACGATTTTTATTAAATTCATTATATCAGCTTAAAATTAACCAGTTTTTAATATTATGTAGGTTTTATTCTCATTTATGTTCTCTAACAGGACTTAAATGGCTAATTTTCAATATTAGCTTCCTCTAAAGTACCTATAAAGTACCTCTAAATTAATTATAGTTAAATATAAAATATGAAAGAATTTGATTAACTAAAGGAGAAATAAGAGATCGTAACGGAGAATAGTGGTAATGAAGGAACCAAAGGGATACGAGAGCGACCCGAGCTCGCTCGAAGATTAGAACAGGGTTCCATAGTAACACGAGCTCAATATAATACGGACTCCAACAATATTATGTACATATACATATGCGGTTTTTCTAAATGTTTTCGTTGGTATTATTTGATATTTAATTGTATATATTACAGCGATATAAATATTAAATATAGCGTTTATAATTTTTTACTTTCACTTCCTTTTTATCTAAAAATACTTATTTTTGCTAAGAAGAGGGTGGTAAGTGAAAGTTGTGTGATGCACGCACCGCACTAGATTTTTTTAATTCAATTCTATACCATATTTTTACTGGTATATAACCTTAATTGTTTTCAGATTTAATTTTGTTGTTGCATATTTTAATTAAATAGTAAATATTCTTACATATTTGCGTTATTATTTTTTTGAACGATTTATTTATCGGGAATTTAATAATGCAATAAGGCGTTATTAAAAGCATGAATAATGAAATATATGATATTTTCCTGGGTCCTCTTGACCACAAAATCTATTAAAGTTGAGCAAAATTTCAACCCTGATGTAACTTTGTATGGAAACTGTAAACGTTTTTTTTTCTCAAAAACATTTGAATCCTATTATTATAGGACACAATATTTTGAGTCGATTTTGAAAGCTAGATCGCCTCACTTATTCTCCTTAACTCGACCACGACACACTCAGCAATGAGTCAGAAAGAAATATCCTACCAAGAAAAAGCTGTGACGTATCTTCTGGGTCTGAACCGCGCTCTAACACGCGCGAAGATCGATTTTGAAGAACTATCAGTTACCGGAGACTGAAGAACGACCTTCAGCTGCCGAACATTATCCATCAGGGATCTCTCAGTCAAAGAAGTTGGTCGATCTCGAGTCTATACTTGAGCACAAAACCGGGTCAATGTTATCAAGTTTTCATTTATCAAAGTATTGTTTATTGTGCCACTTAAGGGTCGATAGTTTATAGAACAGAAACTGCGACTTAATTCTTGTTTGAAATCATATTCTATTGCGCAATGCTAAATAATTTTGTAAGGATTGTCCAAATTATTCTTTACTCTAAACATCAGATTCAGTTTCTAAATCTGTTCTAAATAAACCCTAACACTCCAGTCTCAACTATGATGAGTTATAGAAAAAATGTCTTGGATTCCGAAACATCTATGAGTTATTTAACTCTGTCTCTATTTTAAAAATCTTTCCTATAAAATAATAACAAAGAAATCTCGATAAAAATAATGGAAATATGGACGTCTTAACGAATCAGTTGTAGAAACCGTGATTACTCCGGTTATCTAAAGTGCCACAAGAACTTTACCACTGAGTCCTTAGAATGGGGCAACCGTGGCAATTGCCCCAGGGCGCCGACCTGGGTCGATCTTGAGGAGAGCTCGCCACTTGCAAGAAATAATAAGA